ATCACCTCCAGTTATCCTCAATCACCCTCAGTCATCCTCCAGTCATTCTCAATGACTTTTAGTCATCCTCAGTCATTGACAGTCATCCTCAGTCATCCGTAGATTAATGTATCTCGTTTCTTAGCTTGTCTAAGGTGCGCTGTCAGTAATGGCAGGTGTTTCTAAATGCGTTCTGTTTGCAACGCCATCGGTGGCATGTACTATTCCTCCCACACTGTACGCCATGCGTACAAGGCCGCTGACTGGCCAACTTATGCTGTGTATTTGTTAAGCCGCTATAGGCTTGTCATTTCTCAGTCGTTATCTTTCTGGCTTATGATATCTTAGGCCTTCCAACGGTTTACCGCCCAATCGTGACTGGGAGGTGTTCCTAGGTGTCGGAGTGCGGTGTACAGCGGGGATTCATCCCCTGGCAGAGTCTCCCAAGCTGAGAAAGAGTCCAGCGTTTCTATCAGGAAGCCTAGCTTAAAGTAAACCAGTACCAATACCAGGATCCACCACCGTTTTGGTATGAAAGTTGCATAGTGACAAATCTCCCTCAGTTCCACAAGTGCTGCGACTGCCTGACGTGGTGAAGACCTGCGGCAGACTTTGGCCAGGCTGGCCTCCGGATTCCAGGGAACCACAATGGCTTAGCCAGCAAACCTCCGAAAAATGGAGATTATGCTGGGGTCCGCATAACCAGTGATGACAGGCCATTCCAGCGTTATGTGTCAAGATATCTTAGGCAATGGTGGCACCCACCGATGCTCAAACTTCACGTTGCAGACATAGCGTTATCCACAACCAGCCGCCTGACTGTGCTCCGTAGATGACTCAATCAGTTGTTGTCCATAGCACCATCAATTCTCATTTAACTTGCTGTCCTCATAGATCATCCTAAAAGTGCACCTAACCGCTACAATAGTGATCTTCAGCTCAGCTGAATACACGGCCCGTCTGCATCCCTGTCCATCCCCAGCATACTGTTTCCCTCAGTCGCCGCACCGGCTGCGGATAGTGCGAGCGGATATGTCATGTTTTTATTATTGCTATTATTATTGTGTTAATGATGTAATAATGTCCCAACGCCATTGTTCCGTTATGCGCCTCAGTTCACTACTAGCCATAGCACCTCATCACATTAACTTGCGTGATTCTTATGCCAATACTTTTCTGTCGTTATTATTGTGTTGTTAATGTTGTCTTCATGTATATAAAGGTTTGATCACCCAAGTTTGAGGCTGACCGATTTCTACAGCATCTAGAAGACCGGCGGGGTTAACTCAACTGCACATCACTTCACCAACTAATGTATACTCACGTTGTCTTCGCGCACTCTCTCTCTCTCTAGCTCTTCATTACACCGTGTTAGAATAAAGCCACCATCATGGACCAGGATTGCGAGGGAAAGAAACGAATGGCAAATGTCTTGGGGTCCGCATAACACGTGAAGACAGACCGTCTAAGTATCCTTATAAACAAGTTTGCGGTCGATGCGGAAGTGTGCTGCATCTTGTTTGCTTTTAAAGTAGTTCAAAGGAGAGCTCTGAGTATATAAAGACCCAGAAAGAACAAAGAAGAGTGCTGGATAAGATTAATAGTGCACGCAAGAAGGTCAAACCTTGTAATATCCAGCTAAGAGGCGTCGCAAACATTAGAAATACAAGCAATAATTGTTTTGTTTGCCACTAAATCCTGTCTACCATAGCCAATTTTTTGAACTTAATCTTTTGTTTCTTATGCATTCTATTCATGTTAAAAATGCGCCCCAACTTAATGTTATAAGCATCTAGCACAAATAAAGTGGTGGTATAATATTATTGATGTTCCGATACTTCAAATCTTTTAGTAAGTGGCGCATATCGATCAGTTCAAGACTGAATTGAGTTAGTTTCAAGTGATTGTGGTGACTTCAGTGGTCGAAGGAGGTCTCGATGTGGCCACTTGTGAACTTGCAATAACATGCAATTGTTGCGGCAGTGCTGTGCACGGAGTTCAACGGAGAGGTAAATGGATTCTTTTCTTAAAAGGATAAAGGATAAAGCTCTTGGCGTTGATCAATCCCCGAGGGATGCGCCTTGCATTCGATTTCATGAAGCATCGTTTGGAGGTGGTTGAATGCATATCTGGGCTTTACAATGACTCGCGGAAATGGGCGCATGTAGTGCAGTGGTGGGAGGCGCCCTGCAACACACGTGTAATCGGTCTCCGCCCACCAGGTCTTCCATCCTCCGGGGTCGGCAAGTTGGTACCAGACTTGTCTGGGAGGATAGCAGCACTGGCTCGATACATCGGTAGGCCACCGTAAGTCATTATAAAGGCTAGATATGCATTCAGTCCCTTCCAAACGATGCTTAATGAAGTTGAATTCATGGCGAATCCCTCCGCGATTGATTAACGCCGAGCGCTATCTTTTTTTAGCTTTAAGACAGCAACTTCTGTAGATGTGTGCTTTGAGAATGTTGTGAATCTGAACTTATTCGCTATGATTTGCTTTCCGGTACATTTTCTCAGAGTTACGAGAGAGTGTAGAAATGTAGACATTTTAGGAATCTATTAATGAAATTTATTTTTTACAGTTTCATTCTATAGCTATTGGAAGTGATTGGAAGAGAGGCAAGGGACCGTTGAGTACTAGCAGAAGAGAGAATAAAGAAATGCGAGCTATTGAATGATAAACTGCGAGCAGTTTTAATGTTTTTATATTCCAAATTTAAATACATCTCCTATATTTTTGCCTTCTATTAATTGAGAATTTTATGAAAAGATGAACTCATAAGTAGCAGTTTGTTTTTCAAATCGACTTTTTTTGTTTTGATGAAGGATATACTACTGTCTGAATTTTCCAAATTTGTAATTTATGTCAGCGCAGTGGTTAGTGATGCCGTCGATCAGGAAGCAAAGGCGCTAGTTCGATTTTCGCCCATCTCTCTCCTCTAATCCACGTGGCGACGCTTTAGGTTGCCTATTCCCAAGATTGCAAGGAGAACTGTCTGGAGCAGCATTTCACGATGTTCATAAAGAAAACAAATTTTTCCGTCATTCGTTAATGATGTCTTTGAAGAGTTGCTTATTTCGTCATCTTAACGTCTTTTCTGAAGTAAATTATAGGCTGCAGTAAGCGCGTGAGGGTTCGTTATGTTGTGAAACATTGAAAAAGCATTGAGTTTTGTAGATAGGAAGTGTATGATTTGTATTTTTCAATCTGTAGCTTTCACCTGAAAAATGAGATATATTCACGTGTGTAATAGTGGGATATTCTTTCTTTCTTTTCAGTTTTGAAGTTTCGAAGTTTATCCAGAATCGCTCAAGGGTTTTGCACATTGATAGTTTCGATTCCTGCGCCAGGATCGCGACTGCCACCCCGAAATCATCGCCATTGTGTTTTTGTTCCTTTCCTCTTCTTAGAGGAGTGTTTTGTCGGATTTTCAATTTCCTATCTAGATGCTTTTCTATGCAAGCACAAAGTGGTGCGATCGTTTAGCTAACGTGTTCATTATCACATACCTTATAAGGTATTTGATATACTGCACTCAAAGTCATGCAATCTTCGTCGCCGTCGTTTGGGCAAATAACGCAATCCTCTGTCTTATAGGAGCGACCGTACAGGCTGTTCCGAATTAACAGAGAGTGCTTGGTGGAAGTTCTATAAATGCGTAGGAACCTTCTAGGCCACTGCTTTAAGCACTCCTTAATACCGGTGGCTACTTCGTTCGATAAGAATGGCAGTTTGAAAGGGATTATCTTGCCTTGGTTTGGAATAGTAGTTTTCGGGCCTACCTCTCCTTTTAGACCTAGTCATAGTGGCTCCTGCTTTTTTTTAGCTATTTGAGATAGCTATTTGTTGAATCAAGCGTAGAGATTTTTTATTCTGTTCGTCTCCTTGCACACGTTTCTAGCTGTTTAATTATGATTCGTACAAGTGTGCACTTCCTGTATGAGGGGTGAGTAGAGAGGTAGTGTACTAGCATGCTTTTATTATATGTCTTTCAACACCACTTTTTGACGTAGCTACTTTCGGAAAGCTGTATTTGAACGTCTGAGAGTGGATGCCAGTCCTTTTTAGGCTTTTCTTGAGCTACTTTGCCTACTCTGATTGTTCATTTAACTATTGAAAGCATTTGTCTAGCTCCTCTTGTGAAGAACATATGACGAAGCGGTGTTTTATGTTTTCCTGTACCCCATGTTTACATCGAAGACATCGTCGTGCTTTTCGACTATGTATCGACAGTGAACGTCGGCGATGTGGAACTGGAAATTTCACCTTATAAATAAAGGCGATGGCAAGGCTTGGTACCAATCTCTGGCCTGTTGTCAATCCTCTGATTAGTGCATAATATCTCCTGGAGCACCTAAAGCTCACTTACTTGGGAACAAGAGTGAAGCACTTTCTGTCCGCATAAAAACTACCCAAAACGGAAAAATGAAAAACCCGATGATGTCTTCGATGTAAATATGGGCTACAGGAACCCAACAGTTATGATTTTGAAGTTGTAGTCACGATTCTGGGGTAGGAGTCAAAAACATCAACTTGCAGAACTCTTGAGGTATTTTGAATAGACTCCAAAAATTTGAAAGTGAATATAAAGAACGAAGGTCTCGCTATAAGTGTTATCAAATTGTCTATAACACTTTGTCTACCACACTATCACACGCTATTTATCGTCATATCTGAGAGAAAGGTTTTGATCTAAGTGAGATTCATTCTTCGACTAGCACAAGTGTTCTCATTGAAGGAGAAAGTGATGGGCTTTTTTCAGTGTGAAAATTTCTAATTCCTTTTTAACTGGATGGAAAGGGATTGTTTACGTAGTTTCCTGGCCGAAATTTCCTTGTTATTACTACGATCACTCACAGTTTTTCCATTGCCAGCTTCACGAACTTCCATCGCGTCAAGCATGTGTTGTTCTAATTACTAATCTTGTGTATTATGCTGCTATATTGTTCCATTAAGTTTCTGTTTTGATTTTCCAACGTGATTCGTTATGTTGAACGCCAAGAGTGTCGCATAGATGAAAATGGTAAGGTTGGCGTTTCTGTGACTTTATAATTCTGTCTTCTTCAATGGCTTCCCTATCTACAATGCCTAGTAGAGCTGTCTCCGGCACTGATACTGCCCACTGGGACCTTAGAGATGTACTATCTCAATTACTTGATACTTGAATGGTCCATCCTCGCTGGTTGTGCGGGCCCCAGCATAATCTCCATTTTTCAGAGATTTGCTGGTTAAGCCATTATCATTCCCTGGAGTCCCGAGGTCAGCCTGGCCAAAGTCTGCCCCAAGTCTTCACCACCACAGGCAGTCGCAGTTCTTGTGGATCAGAGGGAGATTTACCACCATGCGACTTTGGAACCTGGACGGTGATGGATCCTGGTATTGGTTTACTTTTAGCTAGGCTTCCTGATGGAAACACCGGACTCCTCGGCTTGGGAGGCCCTACCAGGGGATGAATCCCCTGCTGTACATCGCAGTCCGACATCCAAGAACACCTCCCAGCCACGATGAGGCGGTAAGCCGTTGGGAGGTCTATCTCAATTAGCATGACAATTGGAACATGTGTCCTATAAATTTGGTGGTTTTTCGTACTATGTGCAAAGAACGCCATTCAAGGACTGTGTTTCATATAATAACAATTATTGCTTGTTATTTGTTAATGACATTTTTTTTTACTAATGTTACCCTTATTATTACTTTTATCACTATTGTTTTTACCGTTATTGTTATTATCATTACCGTTATCGTCTTTACTGTCAATGTCGTGGACTGTTATTGTTGACGTTCTCACGGTGTCTTACAAACCGTCGATACATTAGCAGTGTATTTAGTACAACCATAATCGTGAATCGGTTGTTTTCAGCTTGCATTATGCGGTATTTACACGTTTGCCGTTCTAGGTTTTTCAGTACTGTCAGTAGCGATAATACGAGTTAGGGATAAGTGGATAGAATAGGAAACCCTAACTCACATATCTGCGTGATATGTATGTTATTGACGAGGGATTTGCTGCAATATTTCGCAGTTGTTATTGCGGCATGATAGATGAGCGAGAACTGTCGCACTTCAAATTTGCTCCTCTGAATATTTAGCTGGAGAAAATCATTGTCCCACTTTTTAATATAATAATTTGACGCAAGGTTTAGCGGATTAAGGGTGCTGATAGACAAAGGCTTACATGGCCTTCACTAAAATGATTTATGGACATTGTATGACTACCCTTTTATGTTCAAAAAGTTCGGTAAATTTCATGCTTAATAGTTGAACTAATTGTGACGCAGAGGCGAATTTTCTTTTTCAACACATCTTTCATTTTCTGAATGAAAGCAAGGTGAAAGTTTTGCAGAACGATGGATCGCGATTCAGTCTTCGAAGCTCTTCGTGCCGCCATATCCGCAGATAAGCAGAGAAAGGCCAAAAGTTTTCTGAACGAGGTGTGTTATCTTTACGTCTAGTTTGTTTAAATGTGTAATATTTACAAGAGAACTTATGTGATGTCGGTTGGGACTATTCATTTGGAGAGTATGCTGCAGCGACCAAGTCCCACAAGAGCTAGGAACTGTTATTTCCCGTCGCCGTACCACTACTTTATCCAGTTATGGTGCTGACCGCCGTAACTTAGGTGTATTCACGAACGATGATGCTACCACTTGCAAGGCCAAAATTAGCAACAATGAAACAACAAAACAAGAACGTGTCGTCAATCATATTGGACTTTGGCGTAGCTCTGCTAGCAAATCTGTTAAATTTATGCGAGATCCTTGGTTTCATTCCTTTGTTTACGAGATTCCAATAATAAGAGCTCGTCTTTATCGCTATTCATTAGTAAGACAGTCTTGGACTAAAGATGTTGTTGAGATACGCCTTTTTCAAGTTGAAAGCGGCGCTATTGGGAAATGCTACAGGCTGAAGAAACTTCCATCCAGTAGTTGTGTTCGCGATTGGAAGTATGCTCACAACTACGTTTCAAAGAGATATGCCGGAAGTGGTTCGGTATGTGTTTTTTGAGGTTGTTAGGCTGCAAATGGATGCAAAACTATGAGCTGAGGAATATAACTGTTATGACCCACCCAAAAAGATCGATATTGTTCAGATGTGCGTCCTCGAAATCATTGACTTGCCATCCCAACCACTATTTCATCTTGAACACTTCATTGAAGGTGACTACATCAAGTACAACACTAATTCTGGTTTCGTTTCTGAAGTCACTCGTAAAACGCCACAGGCGCTTTCCCACTTTACATTCGAGCGATCAGGCCACCAGATGATGGTGGTGGGCATTCAAGGGGTTGGAGAACTTTACATGGATCCTCAAATACACATGGTGATTGGAACGAACTATGGTGATGGGAATTTGGGTACTCGTGGGATGGCTTTGTTCTTTCACTCTCACTTGTGCAATGACATTTGCCATTCACTTTGCTTAACTGAATTTGATCTGTCCGATGCGGAACGCTCGGCGCTCAGTAGTTGTTCACCACCAAGTCTTCTGAACCAGTCAACAGTATTCACTCGACCAGTAAGTGCTTGTTCAGCAGTTGTTCCTGAGTTGACTCAACAAAATGCAATGAAATCCCTCCGGCTACGCGCAATTTCTATTTGAAGTCGTACATCATCTACAGGTGATTCTAAAGTGGAGTCATTTCCAGGTAGTGGTGAACTGCAAAACGATGACTGTCTCTGTGACCATTGCTTCACTCATAACCCTACTAATATTGCAATTGAACCTTTCGCTGATTACGCTGACGACATTAATAAAGAATGTGAAGATCATGAGCATAGTCATCCTCGAAAGGTCGGTTTCCATACACTCAGCGTGGAGCGTTGTGAGCGTTCGAGTAGTGTCGCAAGTTCATTTGGTTCTGGTTCATTTGGTATCTCTTCGAGAAAATCTATGCCGTCTAGCATCCTTCCGGCCATGGAGTTGCAGGAGCTTAATGCTGAACTGATGTGGGTTACCCAGCATACCTGTATTTCATTCCAAATTCACTTTCATCTAGCACGTTATCACAGGCTGTGTAGGTTTTTATTAGAAGTGGATAATGAAGATAAACGAATTGAGCTTGAAGGAACCAATCCTTGCAGTGATATGAGAATTTCTAGGTCTACTGTCAGATATGGTAAGAAGTCTTCCCTTTTCCATCTCGGTATAGTGAGACTTTGTGGAGCCGTACAAGGAATAATCAGTGTTCCTCAGATGGTCTTCAAACTACGTCACGATCTCTTGAAAGGTGTTAGTATAAGCGAAGACTGGCCAATAGGCGAAGATAACGCTAGTGGAGAAATTCGCGACCAGGGAAAGTTAGCTTCTGAACATATGGAAACCGTTGCAGAAATGGGGAACAGAAGTGCAATGTTATTCGTGACAGAGGCTTATGAAACTGAGCGAGAAATTGGTGTCGATGCGTAGCTCAGCCATCCAGAACCCATGAAATAGTACCAAAAACTAGTTGGCCTTAGCGATTAGCGATTGGAACGGAAATTGTGCTTCAGCGATACAAAGTGTCAGCAAAGATACTCTAAATGTTCCAAGAAGGAGGGTGTGGCTTAACGCAAAATAAACGTGCTTTAAACCTCTACGCAGAAGCTGCTGAATTCGCAGCTGAAGCAATGCAAGGAAAGTTAATTCACAAATACTATGAGCAAGCTGAAATGTCTGCTCTGAAGATTTCGAATAAATACGCAAAGTAACCTCTTTTCCCGACTAAGCTTTTTGCTTTCATCACTTGCGTACTGTTGTGCCATATTTTCTAGTTCTAACTTTTTTTCTACTGTTGTAAATTGCGGTTTATGTGACGCAATATGTTCTCGATCTAATAAAATATTCTTCTTTATTCCATTTGCAGTCTGTTCATTAGTATAATTGATTCAATTTGCAAACTATGTATTGGACACATATCCTCTGCTTCTCAAAGGTCACTGCAGATATGGTTTTGTGATTGTAAATTGTTAAACTTTCCGTTTTGCTAGCTGCGTCTCCTTATCCTTAAGGCACATATGTCGCTGCACTGTTATCTTTATATATTATCTTGACAAGGAAGTTACAGACTTAACTCTTTTATTTACTGCCTTTTTCTTCTTAATGGCAGGGTATGTTGCGAAATATAACTCGTATGAAATGCTGAGATATTTGCAAAACTCCGGACCACAGGTGTATGCAGTGGGGAACGAACACGCGCTGTTGTCCTTACCGGGGAGCAGCGCACTTCACCACCACACCATCCGGGTCAACATATATACGAATATATATATATATATATTGTATATATGGTGAGTGAACACCTTCAGACGATCCGCGATCTTCACGCTTATCTTACTACTGCGTTGGTACATATGAAATGTCCGGGACCCGGATGGTGTGGTGGTGAAGTGCGCTGCTCCCCGGTAAGGACAATAGCGCGTGTTCGTTCCCCACTGCATACACCTGCGGTCCGGAGTTTTGCAAATATCTCAGCATTTCAAACGAGTTATATTTCGCAACATACCCTGCCATTAAGAAGAAAAAGGCAGTAAATAAAAGAGTTAAGATTGTGATTATAACTAAGCCTCAGCTTAACTGGGTTCAATGCCGATTTGGGTAGAACTAGCTGAGAGACAGGTTGCGGAATTTTGAAAACTCCTACTTTTCTTCCTTCCAGAGTCTGCTAGTTTAGGTATAGGTATGTGTTATTATCCATTGGTTTTACTTGCGTTCAGTATCCGTTTTGAAGATCTCTCTTGTTCGTACAAACATGCTCTGATCAAGATCAACGTCACCGTTTGTTGCATCTGCACCATTGCTAAAACACTTTGTCACAAATGATTGTGACGAAGGGTTTTCACGTTGTAATGAATAAGATAGCAGCATTGGTCTCGCCAACATGCCGAGCAGGATTTATATTTCCTGAACCAAGACATGATTGCTAAAGCTCATCAAATCTCTTACGCTGGTACAAAGGGTCCTACGCCTGTGCGCAACCCCAACTCTAACTACCATGCTTGAGAAGTTGGACCACCTAGTCACACTGACATCAGTACAAAACCTTCATCGCTTGGCGACGACAATAGTAAGGCAAACACTCATTGCCAACAATCACAAGTTGATGTCCTCGTGTAGCCTTACCGTAGACTCCACTGATCAGGCCTTGCACAGTCTTTGCTAGCATCGCTGTCACAAACAAGTTTTAGTGCCATCGAATGGGCAGAATTACGTTTTTTTTCGATTCCACCACTTCATTTGCAGTGGTTATACCCTACAACGCTCACCAATTCAATGTGAAATGAACTTTCGAGAACGCGCTTTACTTCAGCTGGGAGGCCTATTTTTATACTCTGTCCTACAGCTGGATGAGATCTTCGATCCAGCTCCTCTTCAAATTGATGCAGTACCGTTTCGCTTAAGGTATAATCAGTTAAGGGTGGAAAGTCTGTAGCACAATCGACCCAACCTTAGAGATGAAACCTGGTACCTTCTGCTCTTATTATGTCGAATCATTACGAAGTGGATGGGTTAGAGTACTTCGTCGTTGGTATTTCAATGAACGAATTAAGATTAGCTTCGAATCGGTATTTCTACTCCAAAAGTACGAATTGTGGCCGGATCGTTGTAAGTCACATTATTCAAAGATTTGACGTAACTATAATCTTCACATTTAAAATATTTATTGCGTAACCAGAATAACATGTAGCTGTGTGGATAGTAATGTTCTAACCTTATGTGCATTATGTAGCCTTGAAATTGTTTCGCCCATTTTTGCAAGTGTGGTTCTATTAGGGGTACTTCATGGAAGGGCGATAGAATGTGCAACGAACCAACGAATGTAAAACGCGAGGACATCTAAAGAAAACTAACATGTGTTTCACTGCATTTGCTAATCAAAAATGGCCACAATTTACACTGCATCAGTGAAAGTTATCTTTTACAATTTGAAAGAAATTCTTCATTTAGTCAGTGCTACTGTGCACAATAAAACCTAGTGGCATTGGAGCTAACTCAATCTTTATAGTTTGATCGTTATGAAAAATTCGAGACAATAACCTCACTCTTTCTCCTCAGTGTCTGGAAAGGGTTGATATATTGGTGCGAGCAATTTTGGCTTGTATTCGATTTTTATCGTGATCTGAACCATTTTTAGTGTTTCAAACAGCAAGGATTTACTCCGGAATTATTGCACATTATTTGCGATCGCTCTGTTTCTGAACTCATACGGCTGTCTGCTGCTGTATGCTTCAAAAATAATGTACACCGACATTGGGAGGTATAATTTCATCAGCATAATTATGGGGTAAGTGGACGATTTCAGTTGCTTGGCTTTCAGGTTACTGATGATGATACCGATGACTCTACTGATGATTTTTATTCTAAGCCAAAAAAAGATACAGGTCCAGAAAGATGTCTGTCGGATGAGGACAAAGCTCTCATCAGAGAGCATATCATTGATGCCGTTTGTGCTGCTGATGAACCGCACAGGTAATGAAATATTGAAGCAGCAGTCCTGTAATTTGTAGTTCCTACGGCAGTCACAAGTATCACTTGTCGCCACGTTGATCGTCGGGTGACTGCAACGAGTTCCATAAATCTTCTATTTTTCCCTGTCATATGCATGAGTCACCCAATGGATAATGCTGGCTCTTGGGACCCGTTTAGCATCATATCCTTCCGCCAGAGTTTCCGTGAAGAACTTTGAGCATCGGGGCGGAAGTCTTCCCGCAGTGTGCTTGATATCCCAATCGCCCAATCGCTAACAGCTCGTGTCCGTCGGTTGTCGTTCATACGCAAAATCTGTCCAGTCCGTCTTATTTTTAAAAATTTGGCACATAGAACGACGTCTTTGGTTTTTGATCATTGACGCAGATAACAACCTCGGATCTCCCATCTCCGTTACATGAAACAGCACTCCCAGCATCGCATTTTCGAACAGCTCGTTCTATGACAATAAGTGGTCTTTCATCTCTCTTAGGTAGCAAGTAGGTTCCTAAAGCATACGTTAGGGCAGGAAGAATCGTAGAATCGAAGAGGTGGGCAAGGAGTCGGTTGTTCTTTGCTCTCTTCATTACATTCTCGTTGCTCTTGCAACCTCTCCAAGCCGCTTGTTTCCTTCTGCTCAACTCTGGAGCTGAGTCGTTCATCATATCGATTTCCCAACCTATATAGACGTAACTGGAGCATTCAGAGATATACGTTCCGTTAACCGTGAATGGGGCATGCGAAACCAATCCGTTCTTCATGAACATCGTTTTTGTGGGATCTAGTCGAAGACCAATTTTACCACATGTTTTATCAAAGTCGTCAAGCATACGTTCCGCTTGGCTAATGTTTGGTGTTATAAGGACGATGTTACTAGCAAAGCGAAGATGGTGTAATTGCAGACCATCGATTTTTGCTTCCATGTTGTCGCATTCCAATGCTCGCATGAGGTTCTCGACGGCGGCGATAAATAATTTCGTCGAGATGGTATCGTCTTGCTTAACTCCTCTTTTGACTTCGATGCTAATATCGTTGCAGAATGGTGATATCTTGGCTGTGAAATTTTTGTACAGCTCTCGAAAAATTTTTATGTACTGAGTAGAGACTCCTTGACTATCAAGGGCTTCCAAGACTGCTTCTATCTTAACTGAAGCAAAGGCCTTCTGTAAATCGATGAAAGTGAGACAGAGCGGTCTTTTGTACTCCAGCGATACTTCAATAAGTCTTTTTATGGCGTTAATGTGGTCCATCCTACTAAATCCTCGAAACCCTAGTTGCTCACATGGCTGCCTTTTAGCCAAAGTTCTGCTAATCTTGTTTACGGTGACTCGAGTGGAATTTTTGTAGACAACAGGCAGGAAGCAGATTGGGACTATAGTTGCCACAATAACACGTTCCTATCGGTTTTCCACTGAGTAGCGACCTTGTATTCAGACAAGTAACGTCTGAAGAGCCGAGCCAATGTGTTTACGAAGACTGGAATGAGGTTCTTCGGATGCTCAGATCGTATCTTGTGCGGTCCTGGTACTGTTCGATTTTTCATCGAAGAAACAGCCTGCCGGATTGAGGGATGGAGAATCAGTGGTGCGACATATTCATCCTCCTTTATTTCATAGCAGGACAGAAGGACGTGGCTATTGAACCGATTTGAGTTGTAGTCGTGAATGATTTTCATCACTGCCTTCCTGCATGCTGTCGCTCTGTCTGGGGGTCGGAGTGCAATCATATCCGTTTTGTAACTGGCTAAGCTTCGGTGGGCTTTGCGATTGCTTTTCCCAGGTTCTGCAGCTTCGACCAATAACTGCTGCTCTTCTATCTTTAAGACCTTTTACTGCATTTCGGCATTGTTTTTCAAGTTGGGACGTTAGTTGGGGTTTCCTGCGGCTCGTGCGATTCTACGCTGACGTATCAGCTCAAGTGTTTCTGGAGACAGACGTCTCTTGGTGACATTCGTGCTCACAGCTTTTGTAGCGCTAACGTGAAGATTTAGAATGATCCAGTCGTATTCGTTGTCGATGATATCGAGAACGGCACCTCCCATCAGCGTCAGTCCAGCGTTGATAGTGGTGCTTCTGGAATTGCGAGCTACCTTGAATGGTCTTGCTCTTCATAATTAAACTCAGACAGCCGCTTTTTCTGTTTCTTCCATTTCAATCCGTCAGTCCCTATGTGACGTTCTTAAGGCGTTTTTCTGGGTCTAATCTTAGCGTTAAGTTTTCTAATGATGACCTTCTAATGATGAATGGTCTTCTCTATAGAGCTTCTCCAAGTCCATATAAAACGCTTCAACTTCTTCCTCGTCGTAATTTGATGTCGGCGCGTAAACGACGAAGATTGTCAGAGCCGGTACTGATCCACATCTTTTTAATCGCAAACGTCCAATTGAGGTTGTTAGTTGTTCGAATGAATTAATGTTCATGGGCAAACTTGTGTTAACGAGAACGCCGACGCCGCCGACTTCTCTACTGTCAATTGTTCCGAGAAACGGTTCTTCTACGGTGTCACAGACAGCGTTTAATGGATGGTGTCGTCTCGTCTCGGCTAGTCGGATGACGGCGTACCATGTCGTTCTTGCATGCGTCATCAGGTTCTCTATGGAGGATTGAAATGTCAGTGAACTTGCATCTAAGTTGCAGGCTGTTACCTTGGCTCTTTGCCATTTAGGCAGCCTAGAATGGCACTGAGATCTTCGTAGCCTCTCCGTACTCGCCCTACTCAATGCTGCCTCATCGGCGGCTCTTTCCTGGTCAGGGCATTGAGGCTCACCTTTTTTACCTTGTTTAGTGTTTAATACCTACGTTTAGAATTCTGAGCTGTGACCGTGTTGGGTGGATACCCTCATGAGGTGCTTTCCAGTCTGTACCAGAAAAGACGCGAAGGTAATTTTTTGAATGCGGCTTACAAATAAGCTGCCACATTCTTCACTCTATTATAGGCCTTTGGCCGATGTGACAGGTAGAGCACAATTCGTATAAATGAGTACACCTACGCATGCATCGTGCTTGATTACGTCCTTTTAAACAGAGAATCTATGTGCCAAATCGGTACAGCAGAAGCAGGTATTTCATTCCTTGGATCTACCTGGAAATCATAAGGTCACTTCTGGTCTGCGGTTATCCCTCATCTGTCGTCTGGGAACGCTCCACGTTGCCTCGTTACTAAGTGGTGTGAAATCGTTTTATGGGGGAAATCCGTGGTTATCGTGTTAAACTATCACTATTCAGCTAGTTATTCGACTTCCGAAATTACTCGCTTTGTGCCAAAAGCATTTTTTTCTACGCTTTTCCGGGGAGGCAGTGATATTCACTTATGTTTTCACAGTTTTTTTCCTTTTCAGAACTCTTCTTTGCACGGCTATTCTACTGATTTTGCATGCCGATTTCCCGAAAAACTGGCCAGATTTTGCTGAGAAGCTTACAGCGAAAATTCTCCAAGCTCCTAATGCTTCGACGTTGGCTGTGGCTCTTCTTATAGTACATCGCTTTCTCAAAGTTCACAAGTAATTTGCTTTTCATCTTTTCACAAACATGTAGGGAACGTTGGTCATTTCTGGAAATGTATTACTTATGAACTTGTACATTTGATAGATTTACACAAGAGAACTTTGCCTTTTGCTCTATGAGCATGTACAACTTTTTTAGTGTGAACCTTCATTTCTGAATTTGTTTCAAATGCATGTTTTCCAAAAATTGTGTGGTATTTAAGTCATAAAAGTTTTGAACGCAGTTATAGCAAGCGCAAACGTTGGTGATACGTTGAGGGACATTGTTGTGTCCTAGTGGACGAAATATCTCTTGTTTAACCGTTTCGTAATTTGGCATATAAGTCTCTTGTGAGAAAAGGGAATAGTTTCATGGATCCAGGAAATTGAAAATTTGTTCATGTCGTAATGAGAAGACTTGCAACGTCTTCGGAAAAACATGTACTACGGGTTCCTATTTTGGTCAGTAAAAGTTTACTATGGAATGAAATATGTTTGTTTAAATTCTTAAGAAGCAATTATTTTTACCCACGTGTGATTTGAAATCAGTTCGTACAGGTCCGTGTATTGATATATAGGCGTCCATTATTTCTTTATTAATACTATTTTAGGAATAACTGGTTAAAGGATAGAGATGTGATCGTTGTCCCATTCTCCAAAATCGAACCTGCGGTTTCTCATCGTTGTTTCGAGTTATTGGATTTGCAATCAGCTGAAGCGGTGTCAGTGCAGATTCAGGGATTGAAAATAGTCTGTCTCCGTACTGAGGTTTTCATTTTTAGAGAAGGAATGTTCCCCAGTTATTGACAGAATTTACACATCGATTTTCAGTTCTCGAACAATTTTCATATGTTTCCGTTATCCAAGCTTTATGAATGGATAAAATTTGCGATTGCTATTCTAAATCGAAGCTGTCCAGAGGAGGTACGTTTGTTTGTTGACATGATATATTATGCTATTATGTGCATTTCATCCGTCTGGCAACTTTTTTCGTGCACTTGCCTTATCTCAAGTCGTATCTGTATCTCTTTTAGCTTGATAGCATTGAAGACGAGGAAGAACTGTCCCATACTGTTTGGTGGAAGTGTAAGAAATGGGCAGCAAAATTACTTGGTAGACTCTTTCAAAGGTATGGATATCAGTTTCTTTTAGCCTTTTTCATTCTTGAAGGGTCAATAATTATTCAAGAACGTTTGGTTATGATGTCTCCATGTTTTCCTACTAAGATGAGCTATGTCTTTGAGAACCTGAAATATCCGTGTAGTTGTTGTTTGTATTACTGTGAGATGAGGCACAAAATATCTTAAGAACTGGAAGTCGACTATGTACTGGGCTTTTCAAAAGGCTTTATGTTTATGTCCTCATAACTGTTCAACAGGGGAACGTGTAACGCAGTGGTCGGAGGCGCTTTGCAATGAACATGGAATCGATCCTGGCCCCCCAAGACCCACAGGGCCCTCCATTCCTCCGGAGTCGGCAAAAATCCGGCCTTGTCCGGAAGGAAAGCAGCACTGGCTCGATGCATCGAAAGGCCATAGCGAGACATTGTAAAGGCCAGATATGCATACAGTAACCTCTAACAATGCTTAATACAGTCGAATGCATAGCACATCCGTCGGGAATAGATCAACGCCAATAGCTTTATCGTTCATTTATACTTTTAACCGTATTTACACGTTGTGGAGCTAATAAGGAATGATCTCACGACTAAGGAATTGTTATGCTGATCGATTGATAGGAATATTTTTTTTTCGTACGTGTTTGGTACCGTTAACGTTGTTTTGGTCTCTGGTAGGTCTTCACCTCTGATTCTAGACCATTGTCATGTTTAGGTTGTGAAAAAAATGTCTTTTCTTCTAGATGTCGTTATCCACACTATGCGGAAAATCAATATGTTTTCACTGCAAGAAATTTTTTAACAGAATGGGCTCCTCTTGCTATTGAATCCTCACTGTTGATTTTTAATGCCGTTCGAAATGATGAATACGTGCCGGGTAGAGTAAGTTGTTCACATGTTCCGTTTCATCCAATGTAGTATGGTAACACTCTTCTGTTTCTCATCTGTTCTGTTTTATTCTCAGGTTCTAAGCTTTATACTTTCCTTTACGAACGATGCTATAGCTCTTTCTGTTTGCTGGAAGATCGTAAAGCCGCATGCACTTGTACGTTCATTCCTTTTCTCAAGGATTTGGTTCTTTATGATAATGAACAAATGGAATTCTATGCTTGCAATATGGTATGAACGAACAAAACGCATTTTAGGAACTCATCGAACATGTGTTGTTCCCAATATTGTGCTATGGCGATGTTGCTGAAGATAGGTGGAGAGAAGATGTGGAGGAACCTATTCGCTTCAGGTTTGGTAAGCACTAAGTGTAGTAACGACTACGTATATATATATAAATATGTATATATATATCACATGTATCACTTTTAGTCCCGTTGCTCTTCGAGTGACTCCAGCGGGTGCCAGTAAATCTTCTAATTTTCCTTCCCGCGCGCAAGAGTAGCCTAGTGGGCTCTGCCAGCTCTAGGAGCTCGTTGAGCATCATATCTTCCTTCTAAGTTTTTCATGAAGAACTCTGACCATCGGGTCGGTGGTCTCTCTGCAGTGCGTTTAACATCCCGAGGAATCCAGTCGCTAACGCCTCTTATCCATCGATTGTCATATGCATTACATGCCCGGCGCACCTTATCTTCGACTGTTTGGCGTACAGAACGGCATTTTCGATTTTTGATCGTTCAAGGAAGTCGAAGCTTCAGATATCTTCCTCTACTTGCGTGACACGGGATACTCCTAGCATCGTCCCTTCGACTACGTGTTCAATAACGCTGAGCGACTTTTCATATTCTTAACGCAGCGATCAGGTTCCCAACGCATACTCACATACCTTAATACAGGAAGTACCGTTGACTCGAAAAGGTGTAAAGGAATCGGGTATTCTTTGTTCTACTCTGTTTCTTCGATGCTCCTAGGAACTCGCTAAGCAGTTCGTTTCCTTCTGATCAGCTCTGGAGCTAAGTCGCTCATTATATTGATTTCCCAACCGCGATAGACGTAACTGGAGCATTCGAAGATGTTCATTCCGTTGAGTCTGATTGGGGCACACAAAGGCAGTCTGTTCTCACGAACATCGTTTTTGTGAAATTTAGTCGAAGACCAATCTTTCCATAGGCTTTATCAAAGTTAGTCACCATTGGTTCCGCTTGGCTAATGTTTGGTGTTATAAGGACGATGTCATCAGCAAAGCGAAGGTAGTGTTATTGCCGACCACCGATTTTCACACCCGCATTATCCCATTCAATTGCTCGCACGACGTTCTCGAGGGTGGCGGTAAATAATTTTGGCTAGATGGTATTGCCTCCCCTAACTCCTCTTCTGCCGTCGATGTTAATATCGTTATAGAATGGTGATGTCTTGGTCGTGATATTTTTGTACAACTCACGAACAATCTTTATGTACTAAGTAAGAACTCCCTGACTATCAAGGGCTTCCATGAATGCTTTTATCCCAATTGAGTCAGATGCCTTCTTTAAATCGATGAAAGTGAGACACAGCGATCTTTTGTACTCTCGCGATAAGTCAGTGAGCCTTACTATCGTGTTGTTGTGGTCCATCGTACTAAATCCTTTTCGAAATCCTGCTTTCAAACATGGCCGCCCTTCGCCCATTGTTCTGTTAATCCTGTTGAAGATGACTCGAGTGAAAAGCTTGTAGACGACAGACAGCAAGTAGATTAGGCGATAGTTGCCGATATAGTGTAGGTTACTCTTGAACAATAACACGGTCTTGTTGGTCTTCTACTGAGTAGGGACCTTGCATTCAGACAGGTAACGTATGAAGAGCAGAGCCAGTGTATTTACGAGGACTGGCGGGAGGTTCTTCAGGTGTTCTGGTCTTATCCTGTACGGAGCAGGTGCTGTTCAATTTTTCACCGACGAAGCGGCATGTCGGCTTTCGGAAAGGAGAACCAGTAATACAACACATCCATCCTCCTTTATTTCATATGATGGAAGGTGGCTGTGGCTATCGATGAGATATGAGTAATATTCCCGAGTGATTTCCTCCATTGCCTCTCTGGACGCTGTAACTGTTCCGTCTGCGCGTCGCAGTGCAGTCGTCTTAGTCTTGTAATTGGCGAAGCGTTGGTGAGCTTTGCGAATCCATTTTGCCAGCCTCTGCAGCTTCGACCATTACTGCTGTTCATCTCTTTAATATTTTCTTTTATGGCCTGTCTACATTGTTTTGCAAGTTCGGACGTTATGTAGCGGTTGTCTGCAGCTCCTGCGATTCCACGCTGGCGTACCAGCTCCAATTTTTTCTGGAGACAGACGTCTCTTGGTGGCTTTCGAACTCTCAGCTTTCATAGCGCTAACGTGAAGATGTTGATTAAGCCGATCGCATTCTTCGTCGATGTTATCGACAACGGCATCTTCCTAACAGCCGACTAATGAATTGAATAAGTCCCAATTTACAGTGGTTTTGGAACTTCGTTTTTTCAATTTAGTGGTTTTTCTTGTTTCTGCGAAAAATGGAATAATGCACGAAGGAGGCGGTGCCCTGATCTCGTGTAGAATTTTAGGACAGCAGCGACATTGGTTAGGCAAAACCTTCGGTTTGCTGTGATGTCGTCTATTTCGCTATTGTACTTTCTGCTGGGAGACTCCCACGTCCAGCGTTGAGGGTGGGGCTTCTGGAATTGTGAGTTACCATGGATGGTCTTGGTCGTTATGATAAACTCAGAAAGCCGCTAACCCTGTTCGTTCCATTCTAATCCTTCGGTCCCAATGTGACGTTCTTCAGACCTTCTTCTTGGTACAATCTTGGCGGTTAAATTTCCAGTGGTGACCTTGAAGAATGTATGGTCTTCTCTGAAGAACGTCTCGAAGTCCACATACAACGCTGTGAATTCTTCTTCTTCATAGTTTGATGTCGGCGTGTAAACGACGAAGGTTGTCAAATCTTGTATTGGTCCATATCTTTTTAATCGTAAACGTCCGATTGGGGTTGTATGTTGAATGGATGTTCATGGACAAACTTGTGTTGACGAGAACGCCGACGCTGGCGACTCCTCGACTGTCGCATGTTCCGAGGAATAGTTCTTCTCCGGTGTCGTAGACCTCGTTGTATAGGCGGCGTTGTCTCGCCTAGGCCAGACGTATGACGTTGTACCTTATCTTTCTCGCTTGCATGATCAAGTTTTCTATCGAGGACTCGGATGCAAGGGTACGTGCATTGGAGGTACATGTCGTCATCTTAGTTTTTTGTGATCCAGGCAGCTTCTATTGTTCCTAAGATTTTAACAGCGTCTCCATACTTGCCCTACCCAACGCTGCGAAATTGGGGGAGCTTTCGGGATCATGCGAATGCCTCCCATTTTTTTTTACTTTGTTTAGCATTTTGATACCCACGTATAGCTTGCTGGGCTGTGAACGTAGGGGCTGGGTATACCCACGGGTAGCTTGCCAGGCTCTCCCAGAGTGGAGTTTGAGCTTATTTGTTGTGGGAGACTCCTAAACGCCTCACATATACTTCCCAGTCACTTGATTGCAGGTTTTTAGCCGAATTGACTCGTAGAATACAATCCGCACAGGCTTGAACGGACCCACACACGCATCCGTGAATACATCTCGCAATTACAGAAAGTATGTGCCCAATTGGTGCAGCAGAAACAGGGAGTCCTGGCCCTGGATCCACCTGCGTTTCAGATAAGGAAAGGTCGCTTTTGGTCCGCGACTAACCCCTATCCGCCACCTGGTGACGCGCCACGTAGCCTCGCGACTTACCAGCTCGAAATCCCTCAAGTGAGAGAGATCCAACTATCTATGCCAAGGTTTGTAGAAAGTCGGTCTTTTGAGTTAGCTGTTGATCGTCGGGGGCTTGAGCAGACTCCATATACACCATATAGGCCAAATGTGTATTCATCACTTCCACGAAGTTTATTTTTTCCACATTATGCTTATGATTTTCTCAATCTCACAAGTTGTCCAGGTGTTGAGAATTTATCGTTTATCGTCAGAAAAACCAACATTGCATTGTTTAACTCGTGGACTACTTCTTTTCCTTTCTTAGCTTTCACTAAATGAAATGTGGTTTTATGTGTTAGCACTTAACCTCCGAGCGGCTTTTTTTCCAACCGTGTGGAACGACGCCTAATTTTCAGCCGTCGCGATCTGTTCGTTTTCCAAAACTAGGCGATATTCTTCGATAGGTACTTCGGGGGCTATGAACATGACGACATTATAAAAAATGTTCCGCTGTGTCGTTCTATAAGCATGAATAATGTGTATTCTATTGTTTACTCCATGTTACTATAATCCATCACGCAAACACGCTGTTGTCTGCATTTGGGAATAATCTGCGCCTTGCGCTCCTCTTATACCGGTATTTTTTGTATGTGCACATTTACCACAGTAACTGTGCTTCACCTTTTGTATTTCTCTAGGAGAAAAGTAGAGCGTTGCTCGGCCAACGCCACCCATAACATCTGTGTCGGATCAATTACAGCTCGATCTAATTTAAACTGTTGGAATAAAAAGAAGGCAAAAGCTAAATCCGAGCAATTTTTCGCGCTATTTTAAACTGCTAGGTAAAGCGGAGGGGAACGCTAGTGTTGTCAACGTTATATTTGAGCAGAAAACCATTAACGATCGTGCTACACATTATTCTTTTCGAAACTTGCTGTTAACGATGAAACCCTTGAAAATCAAAGGCTATCACTAACTTCAATGATGCTGAGATATTTGCAAAACTCCGGACCGCAGGTGTATACGGTGGGGAACGAACGCGCTATTGTCCTTTCCGGGGAGTAAGGCGTTCACCACCTCACCATGCAGGTCTTTCGTTTCGCCTGTCTTTCAGCTAATTCTATCGCTAACGATGAATATTGGGAAGCGTTTATTGAGGGGTATTCACATACAGGTGTTTGAGAGCTTGCGAGAGAATTAATCGCCGGTGTGAGAAGACAGGTTCGGAAGATCTTAATCTAAGAGACAAGAGAAACGGAGGATCCGCATGATGTTGTGGGGAACGCGTTAGCCCACGGAAAGGTAATAGCGAGTTCGTTCCCCACCGCAGACACCTGCGACCCGGAGTTTTGCAAATATGTCAGCATCATTGTGATTGTATCACACGTAATACTCTGCCATGAAAAATTGTGATAGGCAGTAAATAAAAAAGTTAACATGTTGTAAGAAGAGTTCTTAGTTTCAAACTTAACGAAACTGAGAACCTAATGCATCTAGAAATAGATTCCGTGTGAAAACGTGCGAAGTTTCCCATTAGACTAGACAAGGATTGAAGCACCGCAACAGTTTGTCAAGCCTCACACCTCGAAATGTACGAACAAAAGAGCTCCATGTTGAAAGACTCG